TACCAGAGGATGGGTGAAGTCCAAAATAAGCCAAAAGAAATACAGTATACACCATCATCAGAATCCTTCCAGGTGTACCAGAAATAAACATGTTTACTAGAGTTTTTTTGGGGGGGTGGGGGGTGGGATTGAACTCTTAAAAATTGTGCACTGAAAATAGAAGCAGTGACCAAAATATGCAAGAACAAATATGATATAGAAAAGTTATGGAACAACTGAAAGAAATTAAATTATCATACATCAAGAGTAATTACATAGAGAGTAAATAATTGACATTTCTCAGAATAAATGGCAAAACAAAGTGGGCTGTGAAAATGAAATGCGTAAGGTACTCAAAATTATATAAGAGAATGGCAAGATCTATTCTTTCATCTGGATTAAAAGTTTGGACAGTAACAGAAAACAGAAGGCAAAAAATTGAAGGTAATTAACTGCACGTTTGCAGGCTCAGAAGCATGAATTGCACTGTTAAATCCTACGTATAGGATTTAAGATATGAAAGACTTAAGGAGTAAATAACATTACAGATATAATTTCACAGTGTAGAACAGAAGTAAGTGGCAGGAGCATGGTAGGACAAGAGGAAAGGAGCGTTCCGAGGTCAGTAGAAAAGGTGGGGTGATAGAAGATTTTAGTAAAAATGGGAGAGTTAATTAAAAATCTCTTGAAAAGGTGATGAATGCAGTGATTGTCTGTCATGCAGGATTTTGTTCTGAATGGCACTCTGCATGTTCTACGTCTGATGGGAGCCACCCAAGAGCAGAAATTGAAAGTTTAATCTCATTAAACTCGATATCTTGTGCGGAAGTGAGTAGTGTAATTCTTTGCCAGTATAAAATGGCCGTGAATTGTTGCCAATTATAGGGCATGGCTCCGCGCTCTCAGTCAACACGTGACATCATGAGGCAAGAAGCAAAACTCCAAGAAATGCAAGAAGAAGTCCGGAGGCGGGAAATGAGAGGTGGAATAACATCGCCACAGCACTATCCTCTGCAACCAGGGGGACACACCCGGCCTCAGGTAGGGAAGTGTGTAGTAGGGTGACAGTATAAAAGGAAAGTAAAGGGCTTAATCACTAGACAGACATAATATGAACATTAACCAGCTCTAATCTGATTTCATTTCAGCTGCTTGCATTATTTTCAGCAGTATGTTAATGCTGAGCCTGTTTTGAGTGAGGGCAACATGCACAAGTTGGCTGTGTTGCTGTTACTCATGCCTGTAGCGTTGAGTGCTAGACTGTAGGAACTGGAACAACCCTATCATTGCATCAGTAGAATTGGTCCTTTTGTCCTAAAACTATCGAAATCAGACAATGCTAGAATTTGAACAGGGAAGGAAGTTACCAGATCAGCCTAACATGGGAGATGGTATCAGTATTGTAGCGTGTAGAGCCGTTGCTATGCAATGACCATGAGATACACAGATATACCAGAGCTGTTTCTAGGCAACGGCTTGGTAAACACGTTCCCACAGCAGAAGACACAAACAGAACAGTGGTACAGCAACAGAGGAACAGTGTTTTCTTTGTGGTTCATGCTGAGAGGTTATAAGCAAGACGAGGTTTAGAGCATAGTCAGTTGATAGTCAGACGGTGAAGACAGGACTAGGATGTTGGTGTGAAATGACCGCAAGTTAGTTGTAAGATTACTCAGTTGAAAGTCTGGCTGTAAAGAGAAGATTTTTTGTATGATATTTGGAGTGTGTAATTCAGTGAGACTGTTATAGTTCCTGAGTTAAATCCATTGCCAGGAAGCAGGTAGTAAAGACTGTAATAAACTGAGGACACTAGTCTGTACGTGTCAGTGATCTGTGAAATGTAGTCACGAGTCATGAGTGTATAAGCGGTCAATAAATGGAGTCACCAGTCCAAACCCTGTTTATAGTCCCTCCACACTATGTGACAGTATGCTCCTGGAAAGGAGAGGAATCCTGCACTCACATTGATATCTGACAGACTGCACTTTGATGTTTGAGACACCTGTACCACCATAGTAGTATGGATTAGGGCCATAGGGCCATTTTGTCCTGCGAGTCTTCTCATGCCCATCTTCACTGGACCACACTTCGTGAACATTTCAACCCTTTATGAGTGTCTGCCCTCAAAAGAGATTGATCTTTGTGTGATTACATTTAATTTACTTCATTACTTTTGGACAGTACTCACCACATGAATGGTGGACATGCAGTACACATATCAGTGATTGCTCTGGGGTAGCCCACCCTGAAGACTGAGATTGTTAAGGTCTCTAAAAAGTCGATAACATATCCAGGTTGTACATGCCCCATCACCAAAAACCAGGGTCAACATTACACAACCATATAGTGTGAACTTGTCTGTAACATGTTATGCTGATGCATAATGACATTTATGCTGATCATGAATTTCTGTTTCAGATATTACCTGGGCATCCTCAGCGAATCCCCAACACCAGTTATCTGTATAGCAACCAAGACCCAAACAACCCTCATTACCCTCAACATAATGCAGTGTTGCCTTATGCACAGTCTCCTGGCCATAGTCAGGCCCAGTCCTCAAGTAGCCTTCCCCCCTCTCAGTCATACAGCGGAGCTCGTCCCCACGTGGGCTATGTCCCCCCACCCACAGCTCCCAAACCGACACGTTACCCAGGCCCAGTGCAAGCTGGCAATGAGTTACAGAGGCCACCTTTAGGCAGCGATGCACATGGGTCTGTTCGACCGTCCATGCCTCCTGAAGATGTGGGGTACCGAGATTCCCCTCCGCCACCCCCTCCTACATCAACACATCCTCTTTACCAGTCTGGAAGTTCGAACGTCGGACAGAAACTGACCTCCCCTTCTGGAAATCCTGATAATAGGTGGGTACACTGCATTACTTCTGATGACTTATATTTCAGTACCCAGCAATATGTAGTCGAAATGTATTTAATTGTCATACCTTGTATCGTTCACTCATAACTGCATAAGTTCCCTTTATTTATCATAATTAAATAATTTGTATTGTAACAAGCTTCTCACTATATGCCATGCCCATAACAGCAAGCTTTCGCTATAGGTTAGGAAAGCAGATAAATACATGAAATCATAATTCTTGTTAGTTTCTCCCTGATTACGGAAAGTTGTCCAAGACAAGACTGTCTTGTGTATAGGTAACTGTGATATGTTGTGTTCAGTGCTCTGTTATTATAGAATGTTTTCAGAAATGGCATTGCACTTATTAAAATACCACAGTGTTCAGGAGGTGAATAATACTCTTGTCTGTAGGCACTGGTACTGAGCTGTGCGACATTCTTATCCCTTATTGTCACTGTGAGAGATCTCGCTATATTCTGTGATTTTTGTTTGAGGCAGTTGACTGTTCATTTCCATTGCCAGATATACAGCCAGCATGGGGGAGCCCCCCCGAGGAACCTACTACCCTGCTTCTCCAGGTACTGGAAATCAGGCGTCTCGTCATTACCAGTTCAATGCTACCAACCCTTGGGAAAGAGAGGAGCGGGAAAAGGTATTGAAGTCTCAGTTCATCTCTGCTTCCTTGTTGTTAACGTCAAATGCCCTTGTGGTGCTGGAATCAGATTGATCCTTTGTTTCTGTGGTTTGGTGTTTTCTTATGTATAAGTGTAATTGTATGGTATATTTGCACATTATTATTAGATCGCTGTTTGCTGGTAAAGGAAGGTTAACGGTCTGTGGTCGACTTCATTGTAGCCCGTAAAATTATTGCATGTCTTATTCGGTTATGGTATGGCTTTGGACCTCATCCCATAAATTCAGATATATGTAGGTAAGTCAGTAAGTAAGTTACAAATGGATACCTTGAGGACACTTACTGAATGCATGAATTTCAAATCTTGTCAATACAAATACAATTAGCTGTGCCAGGATCTGTAAAAATTGAGCTTACATTGGTAACAGTTCTGGTACGTTATCCAGAATGAGGTTACAAAGAATATTGAGGATGCTGTGAGTGAGAATTGAGGTTATATTTATGTAATATTATTCTAAGCTGTTGCCTAACTTGAAAGCTGCATCCTGTTCACCAGAGGAGTCCACAGAACGTTAACATTCTAAACACCTCACATACAGTGGGTACAGGTTTGGTAGAATGTTACTTCAGTGTTGCCTTTTGTGTCTTTGTGATGTGCATGTTGTAACGGTCCTTCCAATCCATGTGCTTTCGGTTTCTGCCCATCCTTATCGTTGGCTAGGAGCAACAGCGCAGGCGAGAGGCAGCAAGAGCGTGGCGCGACCAACAGATTTCTGAGCTGAGCAACTTACCTCAGCGCACATCTCAGCAGGACGAGCAACTGCGAGCACTCAAGTTGGAACGAGAATTCCAACGGCGAGCAGAGGAGTGTGCGCGGCAAGAGGAAGAGGAGGAAGGGGAAGAGGAACAAGTAAGAGCGATCCTCTGGGCTTGGGATTCCTCGGCTTTTGCTCTGGGTTTGTGTAGCTATAAGCTGCGGACTCTTCACCTTCTTTGGAATTTAAAGAACAGAGTGTTAAAATTGTACATTAAAATATGCTTTGTTTGGGTCTGTATCTTGTTGCCGGTGGAACTGTGCAGTCTGTGGTTTTGGGCCCATGGGTTCAGTAGTGCAGTTTCCCATTCTTTCCAGCATGTTCCTTGATTTGACTGTGTTCCATCATTATTTAACATTTCAGTTTCAGTGATTCCAGGCCAATAATTTTGATGTTAAGTTTCCTCTATTTAAGATTTTCCCCCCGTGTGTGTTCAAATCCACTGCTCAAGGAAATCTAAAATGAGAATTTAATTGTATTTTGTTTCTATTATACAAGATTGTACTTCTGAAGTAACAGTACTGATAGAGTCTAACTCATTTCTGCTTAATTAGACATTCACAGTTAGAAAAACTAGTAATGATTGTATGGTAGAGGTGGAGGTTTGTTGCATATGTAATTCTTTGTGTGTTGAATGTTAGTTGTGCTTTGTGTAGCTAATAGAGGAACTCCATTGATACTGCTTTAACTCTTATGAAAGGAAACTGGTATTTAAGTACGGCATCAGTTTAATAATGTGAAATGTAGCAAGATTGTGCTGTAATACTTGTTCGACTATTGAAGATCCTTGCTTTTAATTGCATTGAGAAGCGATTGCCCTATTCTGAGTTATTATCTTACAGCAGACAGAACTCCTAGATCTTCTGGATACAGTATGTAAATTAGGCACCTTTCTGAAACAAAAATGTATAATTCAGCATAGTTTTAAATCATTGTCACTGTTGTTCATGTAATATTTATTCCATTTCAGTTTCATCTGTGACTGGAACACCATTATAGTCGTGATAAATATGACTTGTTATTGATACTCATCCATTGTAATGTACTTATAGGAAAGTGCTGAGCGAGTGCAGGGTTTGTTGCGTATGGCAACGCAGCAGCAAGATAATGCAGACAATTCACAAACACAGCAGCAGAACTCTCGACGGCCGCAGCTTATAGATTTCCAGCAGAATGAGCGATTGTCAGCACTACCTAACCCTAACACAATACCAAAGTCACCTTTGCCGTCTGGAGGCAACGTTGCGGCCGTTGTGGCTGATGAGAAGGAGAGGGCAAGGAGAGCCGAAGAAATTAAACGAAAGCAAACGGAGGTGGACTCCGGCAGGGAACAAGAAGATCGAATATTGCTTGATACATCAAAACAAAAGGTAAATTGAATGTAAAGAAGAACTAAAAGTTTGTAACGAGGTTACATTAGTACAAATATTATGTTTTTGGACATTATCCATCATCAAGTGTCCTGTTTATATTTCAAAACAACGTTTTGGAGACTGGATTCTGTCTCCATCTTCAGGCAAAACCTACACCACAAGGAGTCAGCCCACATGTCTCTGCTGGACCATGCGATCAGTCAACCCAGTGTGGATATCTCTTTCATCTGAACCCCCGTCATCACAGCAGAAGGCAAGAAACTCCAACTCCAAGTGTAGTTTGAGTGGGAAAATTGTTTTTCTTGTGTTGGTACCATAAGGAGTATTGCTTCTCTCCAATGTTGATCTCAATCAAGATACTTCTGTGGTGCAAGGCCTCATACATTTTGATAATTTTATATGTTCTTAGCTCTCACAAACGGTTCTGTGTTTTGGCCTAAGTACCCCATCTTGCAGCTGGCACAGGTGTCCGGAGGTGGGGACTAGCTAAATTGATTGGGCCCAACCGAGTAGGTTTTACCTGAAGACGGAAACAGAATCCTGTCTCCAAAACGTTATGTTTTGAGAAATACACAGGGCATGGTTTAGGTAAAGACAAGGTGATGGATAATGTCCAAGAACATAACTGAATGTGTCTGCAATGGTTCTTGCTAGGGAAGCAGTTGCCTTTGAGCTTTGCGTCCCTGCCATTAATTGAATTGATCTATAATTAGAGGATGATTTTCTGGTATATAAAATTTGTATGAAATTCTTTAGCAGTTCACACATGGACTGTTAAGACAGTAATGGAGATAAATATGGGTTTCATCAGTACTCGACACTTTGTACCTATTTCTAATGTATGCTTGACAAGGCACACAATCCCATGTATCATGAATCAGGTGTTTATGATGTTATTATGAGAGTAACCTATTAATTGTGGCTTCTTAAGAAGGGCTTAGCTCCATGGAGTTAGTTTGACCTCTTATCAGGATGTCCATTTTGGGCCTATGACTGTCATCGTCATCATTTACAAAATCTGATTTCTCTTTTAAGGAATTTTGATGTAGGCTTAGATTTTGTTAACAGTTAGTAATATTAATCTCATGAAAACCTTTTCANATGAAAACATTTTGATATATATATATATATTTAAATTTGTAACTTATTATGAAATCTTTATTTATTATGCCTTCTTTGATTTTATGTCATTTTGAATATGGAGGTTCTTGTAATGTTCAGGATTTCTTTAAAAGAAAATGAAACTTATGGAAACTTTAATCAGAATTGGAATGGAGCAAGCATGTTCATCAGATGCTACTTTAAAAATGTTAAACCTCCAGTCATGAGAGCATGCTAGTGTGTTGATAAATACTGTAGTACTGTAGTCGCCCTACTGACAGCTCGGTGTATGTGAATTCATGGAACCGGCTGTCAGTTCAGTCCTCCACATGAGATGCGCAGCGCTACAGGGGATGGTTGTCACTTATTTGCTGGAATTTGACCCTGTGATACTTTCAGCCACACAGTTACCCCAAGCAGGTCAAGCAGTTATCTCCAGCATGGGAAATTCTTAAAATATTATGACAGATTATTTTTTGCCTACTTTCTCTGTTTCGAAAAAATAAAAGTAGGCTTATGAAATCACCTTGCTGTCTGTGGCTCCTCCCCTGTCATTGCCAGGTAATGGCTTGGTAAACATGGTCAAGTGGCAATGAATACACATGCCAGGAAAGAAGAATTGTTGGACACCTTCACTTAAAAAATATTAAACTGTAAGAAATTGTGGCTATATATATATATGCTTGAAGATTAATATGTGAATAACACATTGGTTGCAGTAGCCATAAACACACTATACTGTACATTATGAAGTTTGTAACTTGGGCAAGACATGTACAGTTTAAAATTTGACAGAAACTTTAAGTCTGTAGAAATTCCTTCTTGTATACACTTGCCACATGAGAGGAACAATTTAAAATAAAAGAGGAGCAGACAGTAATGAGATTATTTCTTGTGATTATGATGTCTTCCTTTATATATGGTAAGCAGTCCTCAGGTGAAGGAAAACACCTATTCTGTTGGGTCCATTAGAAAGAGCTAGCCTCAATCATTGGAACTCAATCAATCGTCCAGTGATTGAGGCTAGCTCTTTCTAACGGACCCAACAGAATAGGTGTTTTCCTTCACCTGAGGACTGCTTACCATATATAAAGGAAGACATCATAATCACAAGAAATAATCTCATTACTGTCTGCTCCTCTTTTATTTTAAATTGTTCCTCTCATGTGGCAAGTGTATACAAGAAGGAATTTCTACAGACTTAAAGTTTCTGTCAAACAGTTTACCATTAGTAAGTTTGTTGGAAAGGAGAAATCCTCCCACTGATTTTTTGCATTATGTTTTTTTATGATCGTAAATTAATGTTTCCTATAATTTCAGGATGAAGAGATGAAACATAATGTTCAGCATCAGATGCTGCAGCAACCAGTGCCACCACAGCAGCCAAACAATCAAATTTTATCTCCGAGTTCACAGAGCACTGCAGCTCATACATCCAGGCCACTGACTCACGTTTCTCAGCCTGCAGCAACACCAAACAATAATCAGTACATGCTACCAACTCCAAAATCTCTTAATCCTGGCCATCTCCGTTTAGATAACCTTGTCATAAACGGACCAGCATCACCACCGCAGATTCACCACAGCAGATATCAGTCCACAAATCTTCATCAGCAATATAATGGTTATGTAACATCCCATACATCTAACAACAGTGCAACCACAACGGGCAGTTATTACCAACATGATCACAACAAATTACCAGTAAACGCTATGTTGCCACAGAATACAACCCCAAAAGTAGATGCAGTTAATTATTATCAGCATCAGGAGTTAAATACAAACTCAAAGCCAGCAGTTGGTAATCCTGCATCACCCTTACAGCACACTGGTGCACAGAGACTGGATTCACTTTTGATGAGCAGTTGCCAGCAGACAAACAGTTTGAATGAAAGGAACACAAATCTTTCAGTTCCACCTCAGCCACCAGAGAGAGGGTCATCATTTACAGTTATGTCTCAAACTCAAGGTGTACTGAGAAATTCCACTACAAATGTTTCATCAGCTGGGCCTGACAGGAGCAACATCATACATCACAGGGGGTCAGAAACGAATCCAACAACGATAAAAAGAGTGTCATTCCATGATCCTAATGCCAATCAGCCTACTCCACAGCCCCCAATGGAGCAGATTTGTGAGGATCCAAATGTATGTAACACTCTTAATTTAAGTTGAACTTCACCATACTGTGGACCCTTACAAATTTTTTTTTTTTAATTTGTGGCCTTTAAGCATCGAGTGCTGTAGAGGTGATCATTTGTGCAATTTCTCTTCTGTCTGTAATGCAGCGCACTTTATTTTATATGACATCACTGCAAGGTACACACGGCCTGGGGAGCGACACACAGAGGGGCAGAGAGAAGCTGCAATACAAAGACAGAAAAAGAACACACACCAAAATTGAGAATAATGACGATGGACAACAAGGAGTACTATTGACATAAGCTGGCACAGTGCAGTACATTCCATCAAAATGTGTTACCTGAAGGTGGCCCTGTAAGGCTGAAACATGTAGCCAGACACAGAATGTATTGTTTTATATTTTAATGACATTTTAGTGAGGTGAATGTAAGTTCAGTGTCATCTAAAGTAAAAAGTGTGTTGCATTGCGGATGGAAGTGAAACTTCATGAGTGAGACTTCAGTGCAACAGGATGCTGAAATGTAATATTATGAGGTGATCATGTTGACATTAAATTATTTGAACCCGAATGGTATTTCTTCCCCATAAGTCTATAGTTACTGTAATTATTGAAAATTTGTTTATATATAAACAAATCTAATTAAAAGCGAAAGTGATATTGGTATTATCATCTTGTTTCCTACCCAAAAGCATGGAGATCATAATACAATAATTGCAATTATATAATTGTATTAGTTCTGGAACTATATTATATAAATTTTCTTGGGGGAGTAAAGCGTGGTCGGCGCATAGGGCTGACAACCTTACCGCCATCTTTGAGCCAATTGTCTAGATAATGTGGGACCCTCAACGTCTCAAACCCTGTGGGCCTTCACGTCCTGGTACAGGGATAGCTTTACTTTTTACTTTACTGATGATGATGATGGTATTATATAACTATAATTTGACATGTCTTTTATAAGGGTGTGGAAGCTTGTCTCATCCTAAGCAAAGAACATAGGTTTAGCACTTTTGAGAATGAAGTGCTGAAGTGAATATTTCGATGTAAGAGAGAAGTGGCAGAAGGATATAGGAAGTTGCATGTTGAGCTTTTTAATTTGAACTCGTCACCAAATCTTATTAATCTGATCGAATCAAGAAGGATGAGATGGCTAGGACATAAACACACCGAGAAAGATATAAAATATATTCAGAATTTTAATTGGATAACCCAAAGAGAAGAGATCATGTGGGAGTTCTAGACGTAAATCACGGTAAAAGTAAAAAAAGTAAAGTAAAGTAAAGCTATCCCTGTAACAGGCCATGGAGGCCCATAGGGTTGTGAGATGTTGAGGTTGCCACATCTTCTAGACAGTCAGATCATAGATGGCGGCAAGGTTGTCAGCCTTACGTGCCGGCTGAGTTGACCCCAGGGCCGTAATGCGGCTGGAAGGATTAGATCAATTGAAAGAAATCCAGTAACCTCATCGGGATTCGCTCCCGTGACCTTCCAGCTCGTAGCATAGAGCCTCAACCAACTACCAGTATCATATCAAAATAGATCTTAAATTTCTAAGGAGTGTGCTGCATGTAGTTAGTTACTGGTTTTCAAGTAAATGCTCTCATTTTAGACAATTGAAACTATTGAGTGTGTATTCCCTTCATAATGATGTATATTTTAAAACTACTATAATTTTTTCACCATGTCTTGTAAAGTACATGCTATGTATGTCTGCTTCTATTGCAGCTCTTCATTAATGAGGCTGAGACCTTGCTAGCATCTCCAAAGAGTCCTGATGGTGGTCCATTCGCTGGAAATACTCCAGGAGTGATTGGAGCTCAGGAAGTCTACAAGTAAGTGACGCAGGATATGAGCGTCTGACAGCAGTGGTGACAAACAGTTCTGCCATCTGGCGTATGATGCCATGTAGTTCAGTGAAAGGCAGACATCTAGCATAGCTGTGCATTATACATGATCTGTCCAAAAAGAAACTGAACTTGTTAAATAGGGCGCCAATGAGCCAACACTGGTGACTCATGACAGTGGTGCTGTGTAGCGGTGACCTTAAGCTTTAACCTGACACCTGCCCTATCACGCAACGTCAATTAGTGATCAAGTACATGTGGTAGAGTGAACCTGTCTCTTGTGCCTTTTGCGATTTTTGCAAGCTGAAACATGAAGGACCTTCAAGAACAACGTGTTTGCCTGAAATTCTGTTTCAAATTGGCAAAAACTATTACAGAGACTTTTCAGATGTTGAAGCAAGCTTATGGAGAGGATTGTTTAAGCCGTTCATGGTGTTACGAATGGTGCCAAAGTTTCAAATCGGGCAGAACGTCCACCGAAGACGATCCCAAACCTGGACGGCCTTCCACATCAACGGACAACGATCATGTTGAGAAAGTGTGTGCTGTGATTCGTGAAAATTGCTCCCTCTGTGAAGTTTCAGGAGAAGTGGGCATCAATAAATGTTCGTACCACACAATTTTGACCAAAAAACTGGAGATTCATTGTGTTACTGCAAAATTTGTGCCACGTCTTTTGACAGATGAGCAAAAAGCAAACTGTGTCATGGTCGGTCAGGAGCTATTTGATTGTTCAAATGCTGATGCAAACTTTGTGAAAAATGTTGTAACAGGTGATGAAATGTTGTTGTACGGGTATGATATCAAAACAAAAGCTCAGTCATTGCAGTGGGTGGGAAAATCGTCGCCTCAACCAAAAAAAAAGCACGTCAGAGTAGATCAAATGTGAAGGTGTTGATCTTTTTTTATGGGAAGGGCGTTTTTCATCTTGCATTTGTTTCACGTGGTTATTCAGTCAATGAAGTTTTCCTTGGAGGTCATGAAGCATTTGAGGGAGGCAGAGCAAAGGAAGAGGCCTGAGGGGTGGAGAAACAAGACCTGGCTGCTGCACCACGACAACGCACCTGCTCACATGTCGCTCCTCATCTGTGAATTTTTGCCGAAGCACGAGATGACTGTCGTCCCCCAACTGCCCTACTCTCCAGATTTGACCCTGCAGACTTGTTTTTGTTCCCAGAGTTGAAATCCACTGGAAGGTCTCCAATTTCAGACGATAGAAGAGCTAAAAGAAAATTCGCTATGGGACCTACAAACGTTCCAGAACTGAAAAAAAAGATTGGAAGCTGCGTAAGTCTTTTAAATTGTAAGATTGTCGATAAATGTTTTAAAAAAAAGTTCGGTTTCTTTTTGGACAGACCACGTATCTCAGAAGATAGAACTCTTCAAGTGATATTTTACTTGTTTCCAGTATTATTTGTTCAGTATAAGCAGATCTTATGGTACTTTTATGTTAATGCCTGACATTGTTTTCTTTAACTATTTGCATGCTAATATGCGATGCTAACAACCCAGTGCTTGCCACACATTGTCATATGAGTATTGGAGTGTTCTGTTTTCACTTTTGAGCAAAATTGGGGTAATGGACTTTTATGATCCTCCATATTGTGTTGCACCATCTCCCTATACTTCTATAGGGTTATCTTGCAAATGTGAGATTTCAGAATATGTTTTGTTTAAGTCACATTCAAGCTCAGTTGATTCAATAAATTTAAACCCATATTCCCAAAAATTTCTGTTGCTGAACAGAGTAAAGTTCAATAGTCAGGTTGCAACTTTTGTGGAATAAGAGAAATTTCTTGTTTTTGTTGGAGTCCTTTTCTGCCCTGTGGTCTGGAAATTGTGAGATATTCTTTGTCACATGTGTATGGGATATTGATCAAGGTGGCTCAAGAGGGCTGATTGATAATTTGTGCTTTCCTCAGAGATCCTCGTGCAAGGTTGCTGGCAGCTCAACAGCACCAGAAATTACTGTCAACCCGTTCAGGCCCTTTGCCAGAGAAACTCAGTTTCAAAGAGAAAATGAAAATGTTTGCAATGGAAACAGGAGAAGATGGCACTCCACGAGATAAAGTTAAAATCTCGCGAGCCCAGAGAGAAATTGACAACTTGGGAACTCCGTCTGGTTCTAACAATATTGGAAATTGACAGTAGCTCTGAAGACTTGATTTGTGATATGGCCTAGGGGCTGTTCGGTTGCTTGTGTATTGATGCTTCTGCGTGGATGGTGTGAAAATATGTGATACTGAACAAAATGCGGGAAGAAACATCAAGGGCATGAAATAATTCTTGTGTGTTGTCATATTAATTGAATCTTCTGTTGACTTTTGAATACAGGAAGTGTAACATATCAGTTTCTGCTTTTTAGGAGTAACACTTTGGTGTTGGTGGTCTATTTTCCAGTGAACCTTTTCATAAACAATATATATTTGTATGTTGAAACTATTGCAGTGAAGTGGTTTCAAAGTGGTCTATATTCTCCTGTCCCTTATGAACTATAGACATGTCATGTCTTGTCTTAGCATTGCAAATTCTCAACAGAATTCCCAGATTAAAAACGTTTATGTACATAGAACTAATAAGACATATAGAGAAAGTGAAATAATTGTGCTTTATATAAAAGCAAGCTCATGGTTAAGAAATTGCATAAGTGAAATTCGTGCACTTCTGTTGCACTTCCTTGTCTTTGCTGTTTGTAGGTTGTTCATTATATGCTCAAGTTCACTGTATGCAGGCTAGTAACAGTGAGACATACACCAACACTGGCAGTAAATGTTACTCAGTACTCGTTACTTTCCACCAATGACTAAAGTGTGATGACTTTATTGTCAGTAGTCAGCAAGCTTGTTCTGGGTGACTGATTAATAACAATTCTTGTATATGTTTCCAAATTTTAATTCATCTCTGTTAATATTCATGTTAAGAAGAGTATTTTGCAGTTAACATTTTCACTGTTTAATAAAAAAATAATTAAAGATGTGAATGCTTTTAAAAGTTAATTTTAATATGTTATGGTGATTTATTTTTTTGTTTAAATGACTTCATGGGGATTTGCTGCACTGACCACGCGACACCCTCTATCTGCTTAAAGTTTCCACTAACTTTGCTGACAAGCAGCAGTTGCTCGGTCTGTGTAGTTCACTTGCGGACTAAAACCACTGCGTTTGCTGTCCCACAGCTTTTATGTACCATGGCAGTAACTTGTCAGTGTTAGATGCTTTATACCGTTTTGACTGCCCTCAGAAGTCTTATGTGTAGTAAGGAATTTTTTACACTGATATCTTAAAATTTGAAAAGATTTAAAATCTCAGACCAGTGCCAGAATCAGACAAGGTCGTTTAACAGTATGCACATGCTCTTTTCCGAAATGAGTATGAGAATGTCTTTCAGGGTGAGTTCTGTAATATTTGTAATTAAATATATTTGTGATATATATATTTTCATTATGTAATTTGTAATATTGAAGCATCGTGCAGTCTAACACGCGCTGCACTGTGTGACTCACATATGCTGATATCCAAGAAAGCCGTACTATAGTCCACATGATACCTTGATGTAGAAGACTTACTGATATATTTTTTTAATATATTTTGTTTCCTTGAAACATGAACATTCTGTGTCGTATATTTAATAGACAACATGTTTCAACTGATGAAATTTAATTACTAACTGTACTGTTATTTTCTTGAACCGTTAACATTTATGGTGAATGTGGTCTGCTTGTCTCTTGTCAGCCACTTGTTTCATATAAGGGGAGCTGGATGGATTGTAAATAAAAGAAGTCCAAGTTATAACATCTCCTCAAGTTTTAAAGTAACTGTTTTGTTTATTTTAGTTATTAATCGAAATATAACTTCTGTTTTATTACGAACGTTATAGAATTGTAATTTTTACAATATGTTATTGCTAGAAATGTGATAGCCTATATAAGAAATTGTTAGATTAGAAATGTCGCAACTCAAATATTGAGGTCTGTGGTTAAGATTGTACACCTCCATTGTCAGTACCTTTTCCTTAGAGTCCCAAAATATATTTTAGAATTTTTTTTTTTTGTTATTTACTTAACTTTATTACTAAAATTAATAGAATATCAAAAATGTCTCAGAGTAAAGCAGTAAGTTTGACTTATTGTAAACTGTGTCGATAGGTTTACTAACAACAAGGTATCCATCTATTCCAAAGTTATTACATTAATTCCATAAGGCTTTCATATTAGTGTACCATTTATAGAGTAAGATTTTGATAATATATCAAGAAAGAATTATGTAAATAACTATTTTTCATGTATCTATGTAAAGGATATGACAGTTTTGTGTATAGCTTCAAGGCATTTTAGTTTCATGAGATTACAAATAATAAAGATAATTGCAGGTTATGTTTGTAACATTTGTTCTCCTCAACTAGGCTACCATTTGAGACGACATTTCTCCCACCTAATATACTTTTTAAAATTACCTGTTATGAAAACTTGTGTTTTGTATTGGGTACTTTTTCACATGAGAAGAAATATATGAGATTGATCATGCTTTGGTACAAGGTAGTTCAAGGTTAACGTTAATTTTTTCCTGACTACTTTACCACCAGCAAAATAAAAATTTAAATTTTTAAAATTCGCTTATTAGGGGGGTTGAGTCCAACTGGGTCCACTCGGCACGGCAGCCACTGATTGGCCTATTGTACCTGCCCCGGTTGATTATGATGATGGAGAATTTGGTGGAATGAAGATTGGCAGGGGAAACCGAAGTGGTCAGAGAAAACCTGCCCCAACGCCACTTTGTCCACCACAAATCCCACTTGACCATACCCAGGATCGAACCCGGGCCGCCGCCGTGGGAAGCCAGCGAGTAACCGCTTGAGCTATGGCAAGACCTTTCCCTCGTCTAAGAGGAAGTCCCATTTCTAAACACTCACGTGTCAAGGAAGGAATACAGAACTGGGCCATGGATCTCGAGACCTGAAGGAGTAACTGCTGGCGAGGCCAGTAACAATGAAATCTTCCTACCGACGAAGCGAAGGCCAGGTCTGCATTAATCCTAGAGTCGTGACAGAGTAAAATATGGTCATGAGTCCTGTGGAAATCGGAACCTAGAATGACTGTGCTGGCGAGGACCAGCAGCAGGTTACCCATCACCATGACCGCCAGGTGAGGGCCGAGTCGCTCAGAGTCTTGAGACAGAGAAATATGGGGCCAGCAGCAGTTTACCCTACTGACCGACACGTGAGCGCGGGTGCAACAAAGATGGCGCCTACTCAGAAAGGCCAAACCATCCTCTCGTTGAAGAGGAGGCCCCATTTCAGAACACGTTAGTGGTCTTGGGACCAATGAAAATGTGATCATGAGTCTCGAGGAGGCCCCAAACCGAGAATGAGTGTGCTGGCGAAGACCAGCAGTAGAATAGTGCTCTGTTCTCCTCTGTATGTTCCTATCGGCCACGCACCGACGCGTGCCCAGACCGCAAAATTATCCCTGAGCATCAGCCATTGCTTGACACATACTTTCTTACGAACATGATTACGTTCCAATTGTAGCATTTACTTTTCATTAAAGCTAAATTTCCTTGGTTTATATAGGATCAGGTTTGGGTAGGGGGCACTATGCTACAAGCCGGAAGGACGTCTGTTCGATTCCCGATAAGGTGATTGGATTTTTTCAATTGACCTAATCCTACTAGCCGCACCATGGCCCTGAGGTCGGCTCAGCCTCTATCAGAAATGAGTACCAGGAATTTTCCAGAAGGGTAAAGTACGGCCGGCGTGTAAGGCTGACAACCTTACCGCCATCTGTGAGTCGATTATCTAGATGTTTGAGCCTCGACGTCTCACAACCCTATGGGCCTCCACGGCCTGTTACAGGGATAGAGTTACCTTAGCTGGTCACGGTAGCCGAGCGGTCTGAGGCATGCACTCTCTTCACTAGCTCGGAAGCCGGGATCCTGGGTTCGAATCCCACATAAGGCATGAATGTTTGGTATGTGTTTGTGTTGTCCTGTGTTTAGGTACAGACCTGGTGACGAGCTGATCATTCGTCCAAGGAGTCCTACCGTCTGTAAAATGATCCAAACGAAAAAAACAACCTCGACACCGGAAATGTATAAGGGGAACAGATGAAGTAAGTAAGTAAGGTTTAGGTAAAGAGTAGGTAGGTTGGATAGTGGGTAGGGGGGAAGTGGGAGTCCCTCTCCACGGACTGCAACCTTGGCGTGGTGAGAGGGCTTGTGTGCATCTTTGCTTCAGAAGCAGAGATGCCAGACTAATGGCAGTCCAGTTGAAAATAAGAAATATAGATTCATGAAGGAAAGGTTATTTTTAAAAGGAATTTCTCTAAGTTGAGACTATGTTTTCACGGAACCACAACAATACATTGTTGAATGGAATCGATTGTTGTATTGGGTTGTGTTGCACAATTCTAGATTTCCCCAAGATACATTGCTGCCAAAATAGATTGCCCCGAAACAGTATGTACAGGATCAATCCCAGTACCTTTCCCAAATTCGAAAGTTAATCCCCCGGTGTGAATAACTTCTTTTGATATTTTGGTACCTTCAATTTATCCCATTCAAATTCTGCAAATTCTGACCAGAGATATCCAAGTACATAATATCATTTCTTCATTTTGAAAAATAACATCTGTAAGTTCTGGGCGCCAGCCTGAAGACGCGTCAGGAAATTATCCGCCCCCTTTAATAGGGTCGGTATCACAGGGTGCAGAAGTGGATATCCCCACTCCAGGGAAATTGAATTTAACTGCAGCTTGTATAAAACTGGATAACAGAGTGACAAATTAGAAAGGAGATTTACAGAATTTCTCACGGCTAATTGTAAAATCATATTTCAGTATTTTGGCACCCTGTAGCGTAGTTGGTTGAAGCACTATGCTACAAGCCGGAAGGTCTCAGGTTCGAGTCCCGATGAGGTCATTGGATTTTTTCAATTTGCTTAATCCTTCCAGCAGCACTATGGCCCTGGGGTCAACTCAGTCTCTAACAGAAATGAGTACCAGGAATCTTCCTGGGGGTAAAGAGCGGCCGGCGCATAAGGCTGACAGCCTCACCGCCACCTGTGAGCCGACTGTTTAAAAAATGTGGGCATCTCGACGCCTCAAAACCCTATGGGCCTTCACGGCCTGTTACAGGGATAGCTTTACTTTATATTTCAGCATTTGCCTGGATGACTGGAAAACTACGATAGGCCTCGTTCAGAATAACAGGTCCTTGTGTCTGTATTCGGAATTGGGACCTGCTTATTATGAAACAGTGCAACATGCACTGCACAACTGCTAAACCCTTTATTTTTTTTATTGCTAGTGGTGTGGGACTAAGTCCTTTCTACTGCGGCCACTTCTGGCCTACTGTACCAGCCCCAGATGATGGGTGAGGGTGTTTGTGGAGCAATTGGTGGAATGAAGATTGGCAGGGGAAACCGAAGTACTCGGAGAAAACCTGCCCCAGCGCCACTTTGCTCACCACAAATCCCACTTGACCAGACCCCGGCATCGAACACGGGCCGCCGCTGTGGGAAGCCAGCGACTAACCCTTTAAGAACAAGAAGGACATGAGGTTCTCACAATTCTATCTAATGGAGTATGTCTGCATACAATTCTTTTAAATTCACCAGACGTTTTGCTTGCTATCTGATTGATGTTTGTTTATTGCTTGGCGTGTTCTTTGTCCCTTGAGATTGAGGCGGACATGTTTCTCCGAAACGTCGGTCGGCTTTCAACGGACGCACGGCGTTATATCGTAGAAGATAGAACTGTCTCTCTAATATCAATTGGTATATGGCTCGCGGACCCCTTTTCTTGCTCATG